TAACATGTGAGAAACTATACTGAGTACTTTCTGTAGTTTCCTTCATGATGGGTTTCTGCATTGACATGGTGTCTCAGAATTAAGCCACTTAAAGATGACATTACAATTTAATAGGCCTTTCTTTTTCTTCTGAAAACACATTGATATAGTCTATGTTGAGTAATTAAATTTAATGCAGCATGTACCTTTACATGGAAAAACTTGTAAAATGGTAAATGGAAAGTATGTAAAAAAGAAAAATAAAAGTCTCCTATTGTAAAAATTAGAAAAAAAAAGTTCTAAGCAAGGAACCCATGTTGTTGTTAAGTGCTGTCAACTCCACCATTACCCTTAGGGACATGATGAACAGCTGATCTGTACCCTCCTCATTCTTGTTCCATCTTCATCATCTCCAATATACCTGAGCCCATTGTTACAGTCACTGTATCAGTCCATCTTATTGAGGATCTTCCTCTCTTTCAATGACCCAAGCATGATGTCTTTTCCAAAGACTGGCCCCTTCTTACAACATGCTCAGAATATGTGCAACAAAGTTTCATCAATCTTGCCTCTAAGGAGTACTCTCCTTGCACTTTCTCTAAGACAACTTTGTTCTTTTGACAGTCCATGGGATACAATGAAAGCACATACTTAAATGTTTGTAGTTCTGTGGCAATTACCAAAAATCTAAGACATTTATTTAAACAGAGGCTTACTGCCTATGTTGTCAGGAATTAACGAACTGAGAAATTTAAAATTCTAAGCAATTATTTCAAATACAAAACTAATAATTAAAGGTTAAATATTAAACCTATATTTATAATATAATTTTATTTAGGTCTGTATTGGAATGATCAAGTGACCTGTATAAATAGCCAAATTTAGGTGCATATCTCAAAAGTGTCACAATCACTAGAGTTGAGGATGAAGCAAAACCATGGCAAACCTTCGCTGAGCGGAAGAACAGAGTGCCTTGCCAGTGGCATCCATCATTTTACCAGCTTGACTTACATCCCGTTCTGCCTGAACCTTTAGAAAGAGCCCAAGCTGATTTTCTTCCTCTGACATATCTGGGGGGGGGGGGTGAAATTACAACATAGTTAATTTTTTCCATTTCATCAGTTCCTTAAAACAATACACATCTAAAATACTCACATCAAGAATCTGTAGACATAAAAATTATTTGGGGAAAAATGTTTTAAAAAATTTCTTGGGAGAGGAAGAAGAAAGATTTTTTTTAAAAAATGCAGGTTCATAAGCTACATTTCCAAGGATTCCGATTTTATGTATTTAAAGTGGGGTTGGAGATCTGCTTTTCTTATAAGCAGTGTGACTTACAGTGACACTTCTAGTGCCCAAAACCAAAATGATAAACACAAAACCACAAATTATGCATTTTGAAATATGAAGAGATGTATTCTAAGGTGATTGCATTTTATGACGCCTTCATTTTTATTTGTATTATTTAATGGCCTCCATATAACTACTCTGGATTCGTATTCTAACTTTCAATTCCTATGTTCAGTATCCCATACTCAGTAATGTCCACAATGCTCCTGCTCAGAGCCTGAAAGTTTTCACTTAGTGTGCTATTACTGAAAGTAAGGTCCATGAACCAGTGCTGGTTACGAGATCTTTGCTGGCTAGAGTCCCTGGGTGGTAATGGGCCACCTGATTATTGTACCCAGCTGCTAACCCAAAGATTGCTTATTTAAGTCCACTAGAGGTACCTAGCAAGAAAGGTCTATTTCCAGAAAAGCAGCCACTGGACCCCAACAGTCTATTATGACACACAGGAGGTGGACCTGAGACTTATACAAGTACAAACAATGTAATTGTTTAGGAACTGTCACTAACTTAACTAGTTTATATCTACTAACTCTAATACTTAAAATATGTATGCTTATATTTAATGCCTTTTTGGTATTTAATATTTCTAGAAAATAATTTTTCCTGCATTTTAAAAAATGTCAATTTACAACAGATTAAAAGTTTAAAATAAATAAATAAATAATAAAATAAGGAACTAGTTTCAGAAGCACTGGTCTAGTGTAAGACATAACTGTAAAGTTAAAGTGAAAATAAGATAACAAATGTCATGTCAAATCTACTAATAGAAAAATTAAGCTTAGAAACTAAAAGGGAAGTCCCTGAGTGCCTTTGAGAAAGCAAGAGAACTCAGGCCTTGTCACTTGCTGTCTCTCCATTCTCACAGCATCTCCCTCTTATGCCTACAAGCGTGACCACAGCAGAGGGAGAGAGCATTAAAAGGAAGGGTGTCTCAATCCGAAGTATTATCTCCAGTGTTATTTATCTAGTATTACCTGCCTACACTGCATTATCAACAATTAATCTAAAGTGCAGAATGCTGAGATTCACATGAATATTCCAATCACTTGAGAGATGCATAGATTACAGATTACCTTTGAATCAGATCTTCATAAAGCACATAATGAAAACTACCAGAAAAAAATTATTAACCTATTTTTGATGATTCAGAAAGTAGTCCCACGAAAACTTGAAATAAATAATATTATGACTAAGTGTCAACATGAATCCTATGAGCCTGACTCCCATCAGTGCAGAAAGTGTAAGAGATGAGACTGAATTAGTGCTGATCTTATTAGGATCTGCCTCCCATCCGCATGTGTTCTTCACACAGTCAGGTGATGACCATTAGTTTATGGCACTAGGTTACTCTGTCATTGAGCTAGCTAATATTTTTCCCCATGTAAGTATATGAATAGAATATGCATCAAGAAATCACATACATACATATAATCTCATAAAGTATAAAATGAAATCTCTATGTGTAACTCTCTTGTCATAAGCTGTCCACCAGAGCGCCAAATGATCTAGAGATTTCAGTGCAAGATACAGGACACACAAACTTGCCAACATTTCTTTCCTTTTCCCTTTCTCTTACAGTAATTGCTTAGTCTAATGACTGTGAATGATGGCTTTACCTCTTGGTAAAATATTAACATTCCTCTACCTTTTAGACCACAAAAATTACCAATTACAGTTTCTTTTTTTAAATTAATTTCAGTAAAAATTTACAGAAACTTTGGATTTCCATTAATTCATTGTTGCATGTTTCCCCCCTCCCAACCTTCCCCTCTAGTACACTACCCTCTTGTAAAAGTAAACAAAAAATTCTTTCATTGTTTTACAATCATCTTCCCCCA